GAGGACCAGACGATGCCCAAATATGGGCGAGTTCCTCTGATATGTCAGCGCCCGTGAAGTCCCATGAACGACTGAGCACAAGCCATTCATTTGAACAGGCCGCCATCTTGGATCAGCGGGGCTTGGATGACACATATATATGTCCAGTTTCCTAATTTTCTTTTTTAAATAACACAATTCACAAACAAAAATAGCACCGCCAAGGGTTATGAAAGGCAACACAAAATAAGTATCAGGTAACACAGAGTTTGTTATGTATGATGTCTGTGTGTAGCTAAACCCCAGCAGGTGGATTGCCTCAGTGATCAGAGCTGAGGAAGTGTGATTATAATGACTTTATTAAACCACTCAGACTCAAAATGACAAACACAGAGGACGGAATGTCTCCAAACTGCAATAATAGTTTTGACTTTCTCCTTTATCCGTTTTTCTTTTACCAAAAACAAAGTGTGCAGAAGGTTCCCTTGAAGCACTGACGATGATGCGCTCCTCGTTTGTTTCGCCTCGGTCCAAAGACTCGGATCTTTTCAGACGTCAAATAAAAACTGTCAGAGCGAGACTGTGCAAAGTGGTAGATTTGAAGATATGATCGAGCAAATCCACAAAAACTTAAATTAGACTTAAAATGACACAGTGAACAATGGTTTGCAGTCGTTTCTGAGAAACAACTGGAAAAGAATTCTGTGTCACAATATTATAGTAACAACTCACACCAGAAACATCTGTTGGTCCGGCGCAAACGCCAGGGTCGATCATGAGAACAGACGGCCTCAGTCCTGGGTCTACAGCCTCAGTCCTGGGTCTACAGCCTCAGTCCTGGGTCTACGGCCTCAGTCCTGGGTCTACAGCCTCAGTCCTGGGTCTAGGCCTCAGAAATGGACTCGTACAGCACTAAAGGGCTGGACTCTCCCTGGTACAGCACTAAAGGACTGGACTCTCCCTGGTACAGCACTAAAGGACTGGACTCTCCCTGGTGCAGCACTAAAGGACTGGACTCTCCCTGGTACAGCACTAAAGGACTGGACTCTCCCTGGTGCAGCACTAAAGGACTGGACTCTCCCTGGTACAGCACTAAAGGACTGGACTCTCCCTGGTACAGCACTAAAGGACTGGACTCTCCCTGGTACAGCACTAAAGGACTGGACTCTCCCTGGTGCAGCACTAAAGGACTGGACTCTCCCTGGTGCAGCACTAAAGGACTGGACTCTCCCTGGTGCAGCACTAAAGGACTGGACTCTCCCTGGTACAGTTCTAAAGGACTGGACTCTCCCTGGTGCAGCACTAAAGGACTGGACTCTCCCTGGTACAGCACTAAAGGACTGGACTCTCCCTGGTACAGCACTAAAGGACTGGACTCTCCCTGGTACAGCACTAAAGGACTGGACTCTCCCTGGTACAGCACTAAAGGACTGGACTCTCCCTGGTACAGCACTAAAGGACTGGACTCTCCCTGGTACAGCACTAAAGGACTGGACTCTCCCTGGTGCAGCACTAAAGGACTGGACTCTCCCTGGTGCAGCACTAAAGGACTGGACTCTCCCTGGTGCAGCACTAAAGGACTGGACTCTCCCTGGTGCAGTTCTAAAGGACTGGACTCTCCCTGGTGCAGCACTAAAGGACTGGACTCTCCCTGGTGCAGCACTAAAGGACTGGACTCTCCCTGGTGCAGCACTAAAGGACTGGACTCTCCCTGGTACAGTTCTAAAGGACTGGACTCTCCCTGGTGCAGCACTAAAGGACTGGACTCTCCCTGGTGCAGCACTAAAGGACTGGACTCTCCCTGGTGCAGCACTAAAGGACTGGACTCTCCCTGGTGCAGCACTAAAGGACTGGACTCTCCCTGGTGCAGGCGCTTCCACCGCTCGCTTTAGCCGCTCCCCGGTACTTTTTATTAATGGTTTGGCCCTGGTTCTAACCGGGCGAGTCGATACCAGAACAATCTCACGTCAGCGAACATCAATAATGATTCCGAAATGAATGCTTTCAATCTCTAACCAAGAAAAAAAATCGAGTTTCAACCCAGTGTTCAGCAGAAACACAACTGTCTTTATCGAACCATGATTCTCTCTGACTGTGTTTAATAAAAGATATAGATGTGACACATAACACCAACACCACTTTAACTGATTCAGAACCACAGACACATGCTCAGCATAAGACCAGATACTTTTGCATTTGATTGAAGACAGACACTCACCAGGCAGAGTTGGCTTATCTCCTGGTGTAACGCTAGCTGGTGCTAGCTGGTTTTAGCATGTTAGTCGGTGTTAGCCGGTGTTAGCCGATGTCCGTAAATGTAATCCATTTGGTCAAACCACCTCCAGACTTTTCGGGTCTGCCTCTACTTATGCTGCTGTGATCTTTTATTTCACGGTTGTCACTTTTAAGCTTTTTAACTTTTCTCTGCATTGTGATGTTTGTGGGAATCATTCTGCTCCGTCCTTAGCGCTAGCTCCACAAACACCTTCTGGTTTCTGGTGGAACCATCGAGCTCACGCTGGTGTCCTCTCCTCAAACTGAGGAAGGTGTTGCCCTCATCCAGCGACCAAGGAACTGTTTTCCGTACGGACGTCATGGGTCGAGGCAACATGTTGTTTGTTATGATATTTGCAACAGCTGAGGCAGCAGCTGCAGAGTGATTGACAGCGCATGTGACCAATCAGAATTGACGTTCGCCGACGTCAGATTGTTTTGGCGGCCTGGCTAGTGGAGTGGGGTCGGCCTTTACTATGGGTCAGAACTACATAGGGAATGAATGGCAGCGCCACCACCGAGGCGTTTTTGACGCTTGTCGTGTGAAAGCCCGAGAGCCGCACGGAATCAGCCAAAGAGCCGCGGGTTGGCCACCCCTGTTCTAGAGACATTTGATAACATCCTGTTCTCTATGAACCAATGGCTCCAAGTCCAGCGGCTGACTCTCCGCTCTGCACCACACATCTGTACAGGTGTGTGGAGGTGTAGGGAGGTGTAAGGAGGTGTAGGGAGGTGTAAGGAGGTGTAGGGAGGTGTGTGGAGGTGTAGGGAGGTGTAAGGAGGTGTAGGGAGGTGTAAGGAGGTGTAGGGAGGTGTATGGATGAGAAGGGAGGTTTAGAGAGATGTATAGAGGTGTACTGCGGTGCAGGGAAGTGAAGGGAGATGTAGGGAGACTAAGGAGGTGTATGGAGGTCTAAGGAGGTGTAGGGAGACTAAGGAGGTGTATGGAGGTCTAAGGAGGTGTATGGAGGTCTAAGGAGGTGTAGGGAGGTCTAAGGAGGTGTAGGGAGGTCTAAGGAGGTGTAGGGAGGTCTAAGGAGGTGTAGGGAGGTCTAAGGAGGTGTAGGGAGGTCTAAGGAGGTGTAGGGAGGTCTAAGGAGGTGTATGGAGGTCTAAGGAGGTGTAGGGAGGTCTAAGGAGGTGTATGGAGGTCTAAGGAGGTGTAGGGAGGTCTAAGGAGGTGTAGGGAGGTCTAAGGAGGTGTAGGGAGGTCTAAGGAGGTGTATGGAGGTCTAAGGAGGTGTAGGGAGGTCTAAGGAGGTGTAGGGAGGTCTAAGGAGGTGTATGGAGGTCTAAGGAGGTGTAGGGAGACTAAGGAGGTGTATGGAGGTCTAAGGAGGTGTAGGGAGACTAAGGAGGTGTATGGAGGTCTAAGGAGGTGTAGGGAGGTCTAAGGAGGTGTAGGGAGGTCTAAGGAGGTGTAGGGAGGTCTAAGGAGGTGTAGGGAGGTCTAAGGAGGTGTAGGGAGGTCTAAGGAGGTGTAGGGAGGTCTAAGGAGGTGTAGGGAGGTCTAAGGAGGTGTAGGGAGGTCTAAGGAGGTGTATGGAGGTCTAAGGAGGTGTAGGGAGGTCTAAGGAGGTGTATGGAGGTCTAAGGAGGTGTAGGGAGGTCTAAGGAGGTGTAGGGAGGTCTAAGGAGGTGTAGGGAGGTCTAAGGAGGTGTATGGAGGTCTAAGGAGGTGTAGGGAGGTCTAAGGAGGTGTAGGGAGGTCTAAGGAGGTGTAGGGAGGTCTAAGGAGGTGTAGGGAGGTCTAAGGAGGTGTATGGAGGTCTAAGGAGGTGTAGGGAGGTCTAAGGAGGTGTAGGGAGGTCTAAGGAGGTGTAGGGAGGTCTAAGGAGGTGTAGGGAGGTCTAAGGAGGTGTAGGGAGGTCTAAGGAGGTGTATGGAGGTCTAAGGAGGTGTAGGGAGGTCTAAGGAGGTGTAGGGAGGTCTAAGGAGGTGTATGGAGGTCTAAGGAGGTGTAGGGAGGTCTAAGGAGGTGTAGGGAGGTCTAAGGAGGTGTAGGGAGGTCTAAGGAGGTGTAGGGAGGTCTAAGGAGGTGTATGGAGGTCTAAGGAGGTGTAGGGAGGTCTAAGGAGGTGTAGGGAGGTCTAAGGAGGTGTATGGAGGTCTAAGGAGGTGTAGGGAGGTCTAAGGAGGTGTAGGGAGGTCTAAGGAGGTGTATGGAGGTCTAAGGAGGTGTATGGAGGTCTAAGGAGGTGTAGGGAGGTCTAAGGAGGTGTAGGGAGGTCTAAGGAGGTGTAGGGAGGTCTAAGGAGGTGTATGGAGGTCTATGGTGGTGTAGACAGCAGATCGTGTACATTACTTCTCACACAAATTATTTTAGGCTTCAAAAGAACAAGAACTTAAACAAGTTGAGTTGACATGATATCCACGTGTCTTCTCCGGTTTCCTCCGGGTGCTCCGGTTTCCCCTACCACTAAAATCATTTAAATTAGGAATGAATGTAAGGAAAGTGAATTGGTGTTGGCCATCGGGGTCTGAAAGAATACTGACATGTGAAGAAAAACTGATGCATTATTATTATTATTATTTAACCTGTCCAACCTTCTACACTGCCAGTCCACTTATCCTCTCTCTCCATCTCCCCCCCTCTCCCCCCCCCCCTCTCCCCCCCCCTCTCCCCCCCCCCCTCTCCCCCCCCCTCTCCCCCCCCCCCCCCCCCCCCCCCCCCCCCCCCTCAGCTGGCCCCGGACGATGCGTGGAAGTGCCCGCACTGCCTGCAGCTGCAGCAGGGCACGGTGCAGATGAGTCTGTGGACGCTGCCGGACATCCTCATCCTGCACCTGAAGCGCTTCAGGCAGGTGGGCGAGCTCCGCAACAAGCTGAGCGCGCTGGTGCACTTCCCCCTCAGCGGCCTGGACATGAGCCCCCACATGGTCCCAACACGCCAGCCCCCAACCAAGCACCCAACCAAGCACCCAACCAAGCCCCCGGGCAGAAGGGCCCCAGGATCGACCCCTGTGGAGTCCCTCTACGACCTGTACGCCGTGTGCAACCATCACGGAGGCATGAGCGGCGGACACTACACAGGTGGGCACTGAACCGAGACCGAACAAGTCTAAGTTTACTTCAGTCCTGCTTCAGTCCTGAGTCTAAACGAGCTGGAGCTGGCCCTGGGACCTCGCGGGGTCGATGGTAAATCTGAATGAGGTTCTGTGGGGCCAGCCCATTTAAATTCTAATCTAAAATGAACAGGAAGTTAGTGTAAAGGAGATCAAATCAGCGTCCGTGAGAAGAGAAGAAAACCTTTATTCGCCCTAAATCACAACAGTTGTTTTTTTGGAGGACTTTACAAAACCATAGATTCGCCGACACAGATTAGAGAATCAAACCCACAGGTCCACACGGAGCAGAGACCAAAGGCCATGAATGTGGAGTTTCCTGGATCATCCCCACTGTCCTGAGACCCTGAGCTTCTGAACATTTGTCTTAACTTTGGCTTTAGAGACGGCGGTATAGTTCTGTCTCGTTGTACAGTCTGACAGAAGCAGGAGGCCAAGACCTGCAGAACTTCTCCTTCACGCGATGTACAAGAAATATCATTATCATTCTGTTAGTATAATGTTTGGTCGACTAAGAAGCTGTTGACCGATTAAGCTAAATAACGAGATCAACATTTATCTGTATAGCACAGTTCACGCAGACTGCAACTCAAAACCAATGAAAACACACTGGCCTGGGAACGCCTTGGTGGCCCCCAGATGAGCTGGAGGAAGTGTGTGTAGAGAGGGAAGTCTGGGCGTCTCTGCTTAGACTGCTGCCCCCGCGACCCGGCAACGGATGAAGCGGAAGAAAATGGATGGATGGAAAACACACTGTAAAAACCTATAAAAATGGCAATTGAAACGTTTTTGCCTGAAGATCATGTGACCTGAGCCCTGTGCTCAGGCCAGTCCCTGTGCTACTCAGAGTCCCAGCAGGAGGCCAGTCCCTGTGCTCCTCAGAGTCCCAGTAGGAGTCCCTGTGCTCCTCAGAGTCCCATCAGGAGGCCAGTCCCTGTGCTCCTCAGAGTCCCAGCAGGAGGCCAGTCCCTGTGCTCCTCAGAGTCCCAGCAGGAGTCCCTGTGCTCCTCAGAGTCCCAGCAGGAGGCCAGTCCCAGTGCTCCTCAGAGTCCCAGCAGGAGGCCAGTCCCTGTGCTCCTCAGAGTCCCAGCAAGAGACCAGTCCCTGTGCTCCTCAGAGTCCCAGCAGGAGGCCAGTCCCTGTGCTCCTCAGAGTCCCAGCAGGAGGCCAGTCCCTGTGCTCCTCAGAGTCCCAGCAAGAGACCAGTCCCTGTGCTCCTCAGAGTCCCAGCAGGAGGCCAGTCCCTGTGCTCCTCAGAGTCCCAGCAGGAGGCCAGTCCCTGTGCTCCTCAGAGTCCCAGCAAGAGACCAGTCCCTGTGCTCCTCAGAGTCCCAGCAGGAGGCCAGTCCCTGTGCTCCTCAGAGTCCCAGCAGGAGGCCAGTCCCTGTGCTCCTCAGAGTCCCAGCAGGAGTCCCTGTGCTCCTCAGAGTCCCAGCAGGAGTCCCTGTGCTCCTCAGAGTCCCAGCAGGCGTGTGCACTTTTAAGCAGAAGTCTTATATTTAGGAATTATTTTGTGTTTGTTTTCAAATAATGTTAGAATAAAATAGGAAAGGACTTTCTGCTAGATTTGTTTCTGTGTTTCTATGAGAGCATCTGCTCCTCACAGAACAACACAAAAGATCAACCAAAACAAATTTAGATGTTTTTATAAAATTCCAAGTCTGTTATTAAAATGCAAATGTGGCATCAGAATCTGATTTGGAAAAAGATTGAAAATGATATTATTGTTGAGATGCAAAATATTCAAAAGCATCCGGTTTGTGTCCGGAGCCAGTTCCAGTGAAGTCCGGTGGACTCTGGTTTCTCTGAGATCCTCAGAACAGCTGAATGTTTGACACACTCTTTATACACTTTTCTGAACCACTGCTGAAGTGTGATCACAGAGACATCAAACCTGTTGGCTGTAGGTCTGAGCGCTGCTGCAGCTGTTAAAAGCCGTGCATACACTGTAAAATACAGCTGCAGAGGACCCTGAGCGGCAGGAGCAGGACTGAGGGCTCTTTCTGGTCTTAACAGCTCAGTCTTCTTTGGGGCGACAGTAGCTCAGTTGGTAGAGCAGTGGCCTTTGAGCCTGGAGGTCGTGAGTCCGATTCCCACCATGGGACCTACTCCAACTGCTCCCACTGATGTCTACTGTCGTTGTGTCCTTGGGCAAGACACTTAACCCCACGTTGCCTGAAGCCCCCACTGAAAGACCAAGGCTGGTTCACCACTGACAGAGCAGCCATCTTCCTGTGGACTCACCCCCTACAGAGGATCAGCGAGGGACTGGTGCTATGAGCAGTGGGTGCAGCTCTCATTGCCACCCCCCTGACCCAGAAATGGACAAAAAGGGCTTGAAAGATGAAATGAAAGTCTTCTTTCAGCGCAGAACACCTCTTATTGGTCTCTCTCTGGCCTCTCTCTTCTTTCTCTGGTCTCTCTGGTCTCTCTCTGGTCCTTCTTTAGATCTCTCCTTTCTTTGCTGCTGAACCACACAGTCACAAAACCTATAAGCAAACAATAAAAGTGATAAAAGTTCAGCAGAATCTTTGAGTTTATGGTAAATTCTCTAAGTAGAGACTCAGAAAGAAGAGACTCTGATGAGCGTTCTTAACCACCTGATTAGTATTTTAGTCTCCTTCCAGGTCCTTAGTCAGAGTTAAACCCAGAAACGTGCCTCCCCCACATGCTCTCTCCTCAGAGGCCCTCAGTGTTCTGTGGAGGCCCTGGCCCCTCACCCCCTGACACCTTCTCTGCTTCTCCTTCAGCCTTTTGTCGGAACTCCGTGGACGGACAGTGGTACAGCTTCGACGACAGCAGCGTGGAGGTGGTCCCGGAGGCGGAGGTGGTCACGCACGGGGCCTACCTCCTCTTCTACCAGCGCAGGGACTCCATACCGCTGTGGTCGGCCGGCTCCTCTGCCAGTGGTGCGTCCAAATCCATTACATATGACATTACAGTGTGTGTGTGTGAGAGAAAGAGCCTCGTGCTTTGTGTGGGCACAGCTGGGGTCTGTCGGGGTTTAAAAAGAAAGAGAAAGAGGAGTTATTACTAAATAATAACATGTATACTGAATTTCTCTAAGTCTGGATCAATAGAGTCATATCTTATCCAGTCAGTGGTGCTCTCCCTTCTAAGGGCAGAGGTTATATATTGTGATATTGTGTTGCCTGTGTGTGTGTGTGTGTGTGTGTGTGTGTGTGTGTGTGTGGATGTGTGTGTTTGTGTGTGTGTGTGTGTGTGTGTGTGTGTGGATGTGTGAGTTTGTGTGTGTGTGTGTGTGAGTGTGTGTATGTGTGGATGTGTGTGTTTGTGTGTGTGTGTGTGGATGTGTGTGTTTGTGTGTGTGTGTGTGTGTGTTTGTGTGTGTGTGTGTGTGTGTGTAAGTGTGTGTGTGAGTGTGTGTTTGTGTGGCTGTGTTGTGTTTGTGTGTGTGTATGTGTGGATGTGTGTGTGTGTGTGTGTGTGTGTGTGTGTGTGTGTGTGTGTGTGTGTGAGTGTGTGTGTGTGTGTGTGTGTGTTTGTGTGTGTGTGTGTAAGTGTGTGTGTGAGTGTGTGTTTGTGTGGCTGTGTGTGTTTGTGTGTGTGTGTGTGTGTGTGTGGATGTGTGTGTGTGTGTGTGTGTGTGTGTGTGTGTGTGTGTGTGTGTGGATGTGTGTGTGTGTGTGTGTGTGTGTGTGTGTGTGAGTGTGTGTGTGTGTGTGTGTGTGTGTGTGTTTGTGTGTGTGTGTGTAAGTGTGTGTGTGAGTGTGTGTTTGTGTGGCTGTGTGTGTGTGTGTGTGTGTGTGTGTGTGTGTGTGTGTGTGTGTGGATGTGTGTGTGTGTCTGTGTGGATGTCTGTGTGTGTGTGTGTGTGTGTGAGTGTGTGTGTGTGTGTGTGTGTGAGTGTGTGTTTGTGTGTGTCTCTCTCTGTGTATGACATGTATTTGAGAACTCCCTGAACTTTCAGCCAGTACGCTTACAGATTAAAAATGTTAAAAAACAAATTAGATAATAGTATATACAACATGTTGGCCTTCTATACATGAGAAAATAAATGTGTTGCAGGTTTTTACAGTGTCTGTGCTTTAAGGAACCACTGAATTGCTGCACTGCCCATTTATTGAGAATAGCATCAAATGAAGTAAACTGTGCAACACTGCTCTCAACGGAGTTTACAGACAAAGGGTCAGAGGTCATCTCCCATTGTCGGGTCAGGAACTCTGAGAGCCATTATTACATTTGGAAACACAGATTCAAGGTCCTCTTCCATTAGAAAGGTTTACTTGTCAACAGCCCTGTGGCCTTTCAGCAGACGCTTAAACGGTAAATCTCCTGGATTCTGTCCTGGAAACGTTGCTGGTCGTCAGGGCGTACCATGTGACTGAGACCAGCTCAGCATTTAGTTATGAATGAAATGTGGTAGACACAAGGTTAAAGCTGCACTAACTGACTTTCTGAGCGCTCCCCGCTCGAAGCTTTTGCCCCGCACTACCACCCCCCCCAGCCCCCAGCCTCCCCCCCCCAGCCTGTGCTCATGCTAATTGTATACAGAACTCACATCTCACAATATGGATCGCACATTTGATCATGGCGTGACCATAGAATGAAAGAACCGGGAAGCAGCAGTAACCGGTGACGAAGACACGCGAAGTTTCAGGTTAGCCTCCGCCGCTTGTTTACCTCAGCTGTCTGTGCTAACCTCAGACCTGTCTGTGCTAACCACAGACCTGTGGCGTTTCTCAAGAAAGTGGGGGCCAGTGGTCCGCTGTGATTGGTCACAATCTGGACCTGAAACAAATTCTTTTCCTTGTTTCATGAAAACTCGATCTTAAATAAAATGCAACGCCAGCACAAACCTTTCTTCAAAAGGATGTCTGTCCCAATGCACTGCAGGGATATGGATTGAATTTTTGTAATGAATACAAAAATAAAGTGAGGTAATGCAGCTTTAAGATCGGAAAATCTGTCAGTTAACTCCTGCAACACTGTGTCAACATTGACATTAGTGTTTCTCTGGTTCCTTTTCCTGATGACCAGCCCTGGATGTGTCGCTGTGGTCGTGGAACTCCTATTTCTTTCTTAAACGCCTCATTGATTTCTGGAGAAGCATCTTCTTCAATCCTGTGTCCAATGTCAAGCACAAACTCTTTCAGAGACTGATTATCTGATATTGACTTTAAAAATTCATTTTCTTTCTCCATTTTCTTCCTACTTTGCTCAAGGACAACCAACAAAATGTCCATTATCAGGATTTCAAACTGTTCTTCCCGCTCAGGGACAGGTTCCTTTCAGCACAGAAGAGAACACAGTCCATCACTCCACACACTTCTCCTTCTTCTTTCCACTTCATGTAAGTATTTCTGTGAGCAGCAGTGGGTCCATGGTGCTTTAATGTGTTTGACACTGGCAGTTGTTATTCCCGACCACAAAGCGCCTGGAGCTACTTTCACTGCGCACTTCACTGTGATGATGAATTTTAAACATTGCATTTTGGTTGCTCATCCCCGCGGCTTCCTGTTCCACTTTTACCGTAATAACAGCAAAAAGGGGCAACCCACTTTTAATGTGCGGAACACTTTACCGCAACGGCAAAAAGCCGGACCACCACGGCCCTTCTTGCGTGAAGGGTCCCGGGTTTTCTATGAAGTAAGAATAAGTGTCCCCGAGTCCCAGTCCCAGCAGATGGGTGCTAAGACAGAGGTGAGTCTGACCAATGTTTCTTCTCGTCATCCCAGGGTCATCTGGGCTTTGGACTGGTTCAGTTCAGCCTCATATACTTATTTTTTGGCTTGTCTTTATATCTCCTCTGGTCTTCTTGCCTTAAAGTGCTTATATACAGTGCTGTTGTTAAAGTGTTTATATACAGTGCTGTTGTTAAAGTGCTTATATACAGTGCTATTGTTAAAGTGCTTATATACAGTGCTGTTGTTAAAGTGCTTATATACAGTGCTGTTGTTAAAGTGTTTATATACAGTGCTATTGTTAAAGTGCTTATATACAGTGCTGTTGTTAAAGTGCTTATATACAGTGCTGTTGTTAAAGTGCTTATATACAGTGCTGTTGTTAAAGTGCTTATATACAGTGCTATTGTTAAAGTGCTTATATACAGTGCTGTTGTTAAAGTGCTTATATACAGTGCTGTTGTTAAAGTGCTTATATACAGTGCTGTTGTTAAAGTGCTTATATACAGTGCTGTTGTTAAAGTGCTTATATACAGTGCTGTTGTTAAAGTGCTTATATACAGTGCTATTGTTAAAGTGCTTATATACAGTGCTGTTGTTAAAGTGCTTATATACAGTGCTGTTGTTAAAGTGCTTATATACAGTGCTGTTGTTAAAGTGCTTATATACAGTGCTGTTGTTAAAGTGCTTATATACAGTGCTGTTGTTAAAGTGTTTATATACAGTGCTATTGTTAAAGTGCTTATATACAGTGCTGTTGTTAAAGTGCTTATATACAGTGCTGTTGTTAAAGTGCTTATATACAGTGCTGTTGTTAAAGTGCTTATATACAGTGCTATTGTTAAAGTGCTTATATACAGTGCTGTTGTTAAAGTGCTTATATACAGTGCTGTTGTTAAAGTGCTTATATACAGTGCTGTTGTTAAAGTGCTTATATACAGTGCTGTTGTTAAAGTGCTTATATACAGTGCTATTGTTAAAGTGCTTATATACAGTGCTGTTGTTAAAGTGCTTATATACAGTGCTGTTGTTAAAGTGCTTATATACAGTGCTATTGTTAAAGTGCTTATATACAGTGCTATTGTTAAAGTGCTTATATACAGTGCTGTTGTTAAAGTGTTTATATACAGTGCTATTGTTAAAGTGCTTATATACAGTGCTGTTGTTAAAGTGCTTATATACAGTGCTGTTGTTAAAGTGCTTATATACAGTGCTATTGTTAAAGTGCTTATATACAGTGCTGTTGTTAAAGTGCTTATATACAGTGCTGTTGTTAAAGTGCTTATATACAGTGCTAGTGTTAAAGTGCTTATATACAGTGCTATTGTTAAAGTGCTTATATACAGTGCTGTTGTTAAAGTGCTTATATACAGTGCTGTTGTTAAAGTGCTTATATACAGTGCTATTGTTAAAGTGCTTATATACAGTGCTGTTGTTAAAGTGCTTATATACAGTGCTGTTGTTAAAGTGTTTATATACAGTGCTATTGTTAAAGTGCTTATATACAGTGCTGTTGTTAAAGTGTTTATATACAGTGCTATTGTTAAAGTGCTTATATACAGTGCTGTTGTTAAAGTGCTTATATACAGTGCTGTTGTTAAAGTGCTTATATACAGTGCTATTGTTAAAGTGCTTATATACAGTGCTGTTGTTAAAGTGCTTATATACAGTGCTGTTGTTAAAGTGCTTATATACAGTGCTGTTGTTAAAGTGCTTATATACAGTGCTGTTGTTAAAGTGCTTATATACAGTGCTATTGTTAAAGTGCTTATATACAGTGCTGTTGTTAAAGTGCTTATATACAGTGCTGTTGTTAAAGTGCTTATATACAGTGCTGTTGTTAAAGTGCTTATATACAGTGCTATTGTTAAAGTGCTTATATACAGTGCTGTTGTTAAAGTGCTTATATACAGTGCTGTTGTTAAAGTGCTTATATACAGTGCTAGTGTTAAAGTGCTTATATACAGTGCTGTTGTTAAAGTGCTTATATACAGTGCTGTTGTTAAAGTGCTTATATACAGTGCTGTTGTTAAAGTGCTTATATACAGTGCTGTTGTTAAAGTGTTTATATACAGTGCTATTGTTAAAGTGCTTATATACAGTGCTGTTGTTAAAGTGCTTATATACAGTGCTGTTGTTAAAGTGCTTATATACAATGCTGTTGTTAAAGTGCTTATATACAGTGCTATTCGCCCACTGCTCTGTCTCTTTGCCACACAGCGAGCGGTGCATGTGCACACAGTTCACCTTGGAGAGACCCATGA